TGGAATGGTTAACCCGCGCAGGGCAAGAAGCACCAGCTGAGTTCCTTTCAGTGAGTTATAGCTTTTCATTCCATTGCATATTCCTGAAGACTAGGCTTTTCTGGAATGAGGGGAATTGCCTTGTATGGCCAAGAAAGCTGTGGAGACATTTAGGAAGCAGAGATGATCCGGAGGGGAATTCCGCATATAAGCAGGTGCCCACATGGTGTCAGGTCCATACACCAGCCTGACACTCCTCTCTTGCTGCTTTCCTTGCCAGACTAACAGGAACTCCTCCCACTGGGCTTAGGAGGTTCCTGTTAGACTCATATCTGTGAACAGAGTCAGGGCTGCAGCATCTGACCCCACGGTTACACACACAGCCTCTTGATTCCTCAGATCAGCCAGCTGTTCCATAGCAAAACTCAGCCCTGTAGGATGGAGCAGACATGGATGATGGGAATGGAGAGAGTGTGTGTGAGAGAGGGAGAGACAGAGACAGAGACAGAAAGAGAGAGAGACTGACTGTGTGTGTGTGTGTGTGCCTGCGCAAACGTGCATGCATTAGTGACCTAGAGAAGACAGAATGCCCAGTCGAGGGGAGGGGTGATCCTCTGGCATCCTGAGCTGGCCTGGATGGGCAGGAGAACAGGAGGGAGTGTCCTGTGAGAAAGGAAACCTGGACTGAAGTCAGATTTCGCCAATGTTATCATGTTGCCACTAAGCTTGAGATTCTTTCAAAGGTGAACCAAATCCTAGTTCTGGCCTGTGATGGGACTGAGATGCAGTGATGGGTCCCCTCCTTTCCATAGTGATCTTGCATTTGCCACTGCCTTAGCTCCTTGTCTTCAAGGAGGTTTAAGAAATGCTATAAAAAAAGCACTGGCTGTCAGAAAAGGAACTTTACAACATAGTGTGATCCTGACACTTTGCAAATGAAGAGAAACATTTGCATTTAGAGTCATGCGTTCAACACACTGGAGGATCTGCTATCAGCCTTGGAGTTCTCAGGTGGTCTGCATTGTAACCAGACCGTCATGCCATGTTATACCTAAACCCACCCCAGTGAGTGCCCCTTGAGTGTCCATGGCCCCTGTCAGCACCAGATCATGACGGCTGGGAAGCCAGGCAGGGACTTTGGGATATGCATTTACCTAGGTGGCAGTGGCCACAGTAGGCTAGGGCTGCAGGCTCCCCACAGGTCATCTCCAGGCCCCTGGGCACCTTTCAGGTATTCAACACTGTAAGCACTGCTGCACCCAGATCCTTGGCAGGATCCCCCAACTCCACATCTCTTCTAGTCTCTTTTTCCTTTGTGCTTTTACAGGGCTTGATTCTTTCCTTCCTTCCCATGTATAGAATTCTCACCTCTTCCCTAAAGCACGCCTCTTCTAGCACATGGCAACAAAACTCTCTCATGTACAGTGTTTACATTGTTGGTGAACTTTCCCATCTCCTATTTGCCTCATATCTCCAAATGTCTGAAGTGACCCCACTTGGGGAGAGAATAAACAGAGGCACAGAGAGGCCCCATGGCTTGTTCTGATGGAGGGACTCAGTCACTAGATGCCCGTGCCCCTGCTGCACCGATCTCTCTGTGTGGAGTTTTTCTGTGCTGACCTGCCTTCAGGCCATGGCTGCCACCACTACACTTCAGTGATGCGCCCTGGGGTGGGGAAAGGTACCCTACACTTCATGAAATTCTAAGGTAAGGACATAGAACTGCTGCTTCTGACATGTCCTTATTTTATAGCCTTAACTGTCTTACATGCATATTCATCCCAATTAATCCTTAGGAAGGGATTCTTGCTTTGAAAATCCTGGGCGGGCGCGGTGGCTCAAGCCTGTAATCCCAGCACTTTGGGAGGCCGAGACGGGCGGATCACGAGATCAGGAGATCGAGACCATCCTGGCTAACTCGGTGAAACCCCGTCTCTACTAAAAAATACAAAAAACTAGCCGGGCGAGGTGGCGGGCGCCTGTAGTCCCAGCTACTCGGGAGGCTGAGGCAGGAGAATGGCATAAACCCGGGAGGCGGAGCTTGCAGTGAGCCGAGATCACGCCACTGCACTCCAGCCTGGGCGACAGAGCGAGACTCCGTCTCAAAAAAAAAAAAAAAGAAGCTGTGAAGCCAGGGAGCTGCTGTTACAGCTGTATCTCTGCTGGGTCCACCTCTGGCATGATCTGCTACGGCACATTCTCCCACAAGTGTATCTGGTTGGCAGTACCTAAAATCACATCCTGAACCTGGCTGCAAGGGAGTCTGGGAATTGTAGTTTTCCTCTTTCCAACCTGGATACCTCCCTGTGTAACCCTAGGCAGACAAATATCCAGTCAATCCCCAGTACCTGCATTCCTGCAGAGAGAAGGCAAGTCCTATTAGCATTTGACGGTGTAAGTGGAAAGTTCTCCAACGTAAAAAGTCACATTGAAGAGTGGGGCTAGGATATGGCAGAATAAAACTCAGACACTGAAGGGCTTTATGTGAATCACCCACCCCTTCAGCTTCCAGTGATCTCAGTTTTTTTTTGTTTTTTGTTTTTTTTTTTTTTTTTTTTTTTTTTTTTTTTTTTTGAGATGGAGTTTCACTCTGTCGCCCAGGCTGGAGTGCAGTGGTGCTATCTTGGCTCACTGCAACCTCCACCTCCCAGGTTCAAGCGATTCTTCTGCCTCAGCCTCCCGAGGAGCTAGGACTACAGGCATGCACCACCATGCCTGGCTAATTTTTGTATTTTTAGTAAAGATGGGGTTTCACCATATTGGCCAGGCTGGTCTTGAGTTCCTGACCTCGTGGTCCACCCACCTCGGCCTCTGAAAGTGCTGGGATTACAGGAGTGAGCCACCGCACCTGGCCAACCTCAGTTCTTAAGAAGGCAGGAACTTGATTTCCAAAGAACTTTCTTTCCTTTTCACTTGCTCCATGGGCTAAACTATTGAAAGACTTACCAGGTCTGCTGGTATAGACTATGTCAGGTAACAGCTCCATGACTATCAATGGTTTAACAGTGAAATGATGGAGTTTATGTCTTATTCAAGGCATCTGTCCAGTGTAGGTTGGGAAGGGGTTTTGGCATGACCCAGGACTTAGGCTGCATTTTCACACTCACTCCCACACACATTCCTGGAGAGGCAGGAAAAGTAGAATGCGGCAAATTGCACATTTGTCTCTGCAAGGAAGAGACATGTTGCTCACACACCTACTTCATGAGCTAAAGCAAGTCACACAGCTCACTTACTTCAAAGGGAGAAAAGCACAGTCCTCCCAAGAGCCAGAGGACAGGAGAACCAACCTGTGGTAAACGGCACTAATTAGGAGTCTGTGCCCATGATGTGCCCCCAGTGTCCTCATCACTCGGCCGGGATAACTGACGTTCTTCCATCACCATTTTTCTTTCCCTCCAGGAACTTAACATTTCAACTTTAAAAATACTGATACAATTTTCACTTGAAAATGGCTTATGAAAAAACAGCACAGTCCCCAGAGGCAACATTCTAATCGTGCTTTTCCACAAATACTTCAGTGGTTCTCAGTCTGTCTTGATTTAGTGGGCTGAGAACGCTCTGTGTTGTGTTTTATGTAAAAATTCTGCCTGTCTTCCTTAGATTAGGAAGGAAGAAAACAGGCCCAAGAGGTTGGCCCCAGATGGTTTCTCAGTTCCAGTGCCCACCCTGCCACAGGCTTTCTCTGACCACCTTCTCCCCAGTTTGAAGCCATTTTTGACTTTCTTGAGCAGCCCCCTTTCATGTTCCCTCACCGTATTATCAATGTTTGCATAAATGCCTCATCCCCCCTACTAGGCTCTGAGCTCTTTGATCCATATAGAATAGTCTCTACTCTCAGGTGGACTTGATTGAGTGTTTTTGAATGACTCAGCAATTAATCTCTACATTCTCCTTCAGGATGTTTTCTGTAAGAGGTGCTCAGCATCTTTTGAGTGAAAAAAAGATGGACGGATGAATGGATGGACAAATTAAATAAAGGATTGAGGATGTATAGACTCCAGTCAGCATCGCATAGGGAGAATAAACAAGCCTATTCTCTTCAGGTCATTCAGCAGATTCTGATGAGTTGACTCATAAATACAGGTTTTAGAACCAAATGGAAGTGGGGATGACTCAGGGCAGCCTCTCATCACTCTGCAAACTAAGGCCCAAGCTCTGCTATGGTTCAGTGGTGTCATCTGGAAATATTCACGTAAATGAGCACCCCATTTTTCTAAGAGGTGTTTTCTTTTTCCCCCTCTCTTCTTTTCTCCATTTCCTGGATTCCCAACTTCCTACGTAGCCCTTTAGAAATGCAAGTATAGGCCTGGCGCAGTGGCTCTCGCCTAGGCCTGTAATCCAAGCGCTTTGGGAGGCTGAGGTGAGCAGATTACTTGAGGTCAGGAGTTCAAGACCAGCCTGGCCAACATGGTGAAACCCTGTTTTTACTAAAAGTAAACAAACAAAAAATTAGCCAGGCCTGGTGGTGGGTACCTGTAGTCCCAGCTACTTGAGAGGGTGAGGCAGAATGGTGTGAACCTGGGGGGCAGAGGTGGCAGTGAGCCGAGATCGTACCACTGCACTCCAGCCTGCGCGACAGAGTGAGACTCTGTCTCAAAAAAAGGGAAATGCAAATATAACCTTTCATCTCCCCTTCATTAGACATTCCCTACAGGGCAAATTCATTTCTCTGCTCCAAAATAGTCCTCCAGAATTGACTGCCAATTTGTAGACGAAAGCATGCCCTTCTCGAGCTTTCACCTCCAGGGGTTACCTTGGAATTCCCACCTCCAGGGGCTGCCTCAGGACTTTCATTCGCCAGGAGGGTATATCTAAAGTATGCCTACTTGGCCACTTTTACAATTTATTTTTGCCCAGGAAGGCTCGACTCAGCTGTCCAGTCGATAAGGTACCATGCTATCAGGCGGACCCTTGCTCACTTGCTCCCTTACCTTATAAAAGTGTCTGCTTTCTGCCCCAAAGGGGAAGCGGCACATTGAAAGGCAGGACGTTGTGTGCCCCTCCTCCAAGCTAGCTTCGGAATACATTCACTTTATTGGTATCAGACCTCACTCTTGTCCATGGGACTTTGCGTACATTCAGCAACTAACCCACGTTTCGGTTACATTCGTGTCACACTTTGGTCATGGTTTAGCTCTCTGGTACCAGGGGCAAGCTTTGCTTGGTCAGTAGCATAGGGTGTTGCTGTGTTTATTGGATGGATTCCATGGCCCAGACTGAGTAAGGTGGGGGCAAGGAACAGGACAAGTGCTCTAGAAATTCCTGTCTGCGGGGCTGACATGGCATGTCTCTGCTCTCCTATTAAATGTTTCCTGGGCGAGGCATGAGAGCTCCCAGGCCCCTGAAACCTGAAAGGGGTCAGGAAGCCAAGGCAGCAAGGCCAGAGGGCACTGCCCGGGAAAGTGACCCACATCTGTCCCCTGAAACATCAGTTCCTCTTTCCAGGGAGATGGGAGTTGTGCAAACATGGAATTCCCACACCTCGCAGATCTCTCCTGGGTGGAGACTTCAAGAAGAGAGGGAAGAGAGGCAGTGTATGGAGAAGGGCAGGAAAGTGACATGTGTGTCCAAGTGGCGGTGAAGAAAGGGGCTAACAGATATCTCCCTTTCCTATAAAATAAAAAGACAGGAACTTCGCCTACCTCTGCTATTTCCTTCCCATTTCTCCTTCAGCTCAAAGAAAGGTGTGGAGCTGAGAAATGGTCCCTAACCTGTACTTGGCACTCAAGGGTTTTCTCCATAGCAGGAGAGACCCCTTTGCCTGGCCTTTGTCTGTCCTTCACTTCATGTGAAAGAGAAACATGTGCTTGCAGAAGGAAGCCCAGGGGCTAGGGGAACATCTTCACTCCAGAGGGTCAGGGAGCTGTGGCTCCACCAGCTTCGCCTGGGTTGGTCACTGGGCCTAGAGAAACTCCAGCCCGCTGGGAAGCTGGTTGTAGATGCTAGCCATTGGGTGGCACCAGTGAGCCCTTTCCAGCCAAAGATTCCACCAGGAACCCCAAGTAAGAACCCAGTCCCTCTCCCTCAGCCTCCATTGAATGATGCTCTGTGGCCAGGCAGGTACCAAAGAATAAATGTACTGTATTAACATGAAGACTAATGACAAATGCACTGCAGTAGTAAGCACATCATAGATACATAGAATATTCTCTATATAATCTGAATATGGATATAAAATAAGTTATAGTCATTTAGTTTTCCATCACAGTAGGAACATAGCATACAAAGTGACTGGTTCAATGGCCATGAAGCAAGCCAGGGGAGAGACCATAGAGGAGGCTGTAGGGCATGGAGTACAGTGGGGATTTGCGAAGGACACTGCAGAGTCCCTGGGGACCCTCTAGGGAACAAGGCCCCAGACCTCTCAAGTTAGCCTTCTGAGAATTAGCATGAGGTCCCACTTGACAAGAGACAGTGGCTGCATCTGAGCTGGGATGATTCAGGCAACTGGGTGGGAGGCAGAGCAGGGACAGGCACGAACAGCATCCAGCAGGCCAGCCCACTCTCCTGCTGGTGCTGTTGGATGTCTATGATGCTGGGAATATGGGGCGCAGAGCCAGAAGGCACGGTTTGCTTCTGTGACACGACAGATGGCCAGACTGATGGCCTACCAAGTGCTGGCCAGCCCTCCTCCCTTGCCAGCCTGTCCTGGGAGGCTGCCGGGGTCCTGCATGCTTTGTTGTTCTCCATAGTTTGTCACTGGGTATCAATGCTGGGATCCTGCACACGTCATAGCACAGAGAAGCGTGTGAGGGTCTGAGGCCCTGGCTTTAAATCCTCTCTCCATCACATGTGACTTCTGTGAGTTTCAATAGGTTGCCTAAACCCTTCTGAGGCTACTCAGCCTCTTCATCTGCAAACTGGGAAGGCTAATGCATACTTACCTGGGACATCAGTGAGGGCCACATAGAATAATGTATATAAAGTGCCTAACATAGCTCCTGGCACGCAGGAGGGGCTGGGTAAATGTGAGTCAAGTATGAACATCTAAACATCACAGGCCAGGTGGAAAGAACATCTAACAAAATCTATGGACTAAAACCACCTTGACTGGTTTCCAGGAGACTACAGGACAGTTTCCTCATTCTTTCTACCAATTTTTTTCTCTTTTCTCTCCTGCTCTGGGATTCTTTAAAATGAAATACTGGCAGAGTTCAAAGCAAGGTTTGCCAAAGAAGACAGAGGCTTAGATTAGGAAAGAACAGAGCTCCTGGGCCAATGTCTCTAGAAGACGCTTCCTCTTTCACCTCTCCTCCCTGCAGCTGTCCCCATGCCCTCAGATCTCCTGGCTCCTGAATGGATTTCTTATTAGGAAGCCAAAGCAGGTATGGGAAGCACAGAAAAAGAAGTGAATTGTCTACTAAACGAAAAGTCTTTTCCATCTGCTCAGAGCCCACATGTGGAGGCACTGGGGAATCTGGAGGTGGGTGGGCCATCTGCACGGGCAAGTGAATTGCCTCAGGTCTCATCTCTGGGGAGTGGCTGATGAGGGGGGTAAAGGGATGAAGACTCAGGCTTAGACTCTGGGGCCTGGGAGTGCTCTTGTCCTTCTACTAATCTCGAGAACTTGGAGGTGTGCCCAAACAAGTATCAGTTGCAAACGTGGGCATCATGGTCCTCTCTTACCTACAGAGCAATGTCAAGATCTGCGCATGTGTGTGTGCATGTGTGTTCATGTGTGTGCGTGTATGTGTGTGTGTAGTCACTGCTCCCATCTCCTCCTCTAACACTTGCCCATCTGAATGTCCCCCCACCCCCATCACTCGGCAAGTTTCCTCTTGGACGGGGGCAGGAGGTGGGCAGGCAGCTCGTTGGGCAGCTCGTGCCCCTCCAGCTTGACTTTGATGAGGTGGTTGGCCAGTGCAAACTCCTCATCATCCAGCATGCCATCCTTGTCAATGTCGGCCAGCTTCCAGATCTTGCCCAGCACACTGTTGGGCAGCTTGGAGCGCACCATCTCCTTCTTGGCATTAGCGCCTGTGATCTTGCCATCCACCGGTGACAGGGTGTAGAAGATCTCGTCGTACATGGGCTTGTCCCTGGCCACCACCCACTCAGCATCATCGATACCTTCTCCAGCCCCCTCCCCATAGCCATGCCCAAAGGGGCCGTGCAGGGTGCCCTCGAACGCTCCACCCTTCACCATCTGGATGGGCCGCTGTGACTCCTCCTGGCGCACTAGCACCATGAGCTGGGCAATGTCGTGGGCCAGCATGTCATCCACTACCTCCAGCAGCTTGCTCTTCAGCGGCTGGAACTTGCTAAAGTCCTGGGCCTGCAGCTGGTCCTGGGAAGAGGAGGAGAGAAGATGAAGATAGGATACAATGAAAGGAGAGCCCTCTACTTGTCACGTGCCTCCTATGAACACCAGAATGTTCACAGTCGATCCCTTTCTACAATGAAAGATGTGTGACCTAGAGGCTCAGCTGATGGACATCACGTGGTAATTGAAGGTATGAGAGAGGAGGGGAATAAAGGCCCACTGGGCTGATGAGGGGATTTTTCAGGAGGGAGCAGAAGAGTTGTAGGGGCTGGGGAAGAAAGGGAAATTTAACAAGTATTGGCATGATCTATTTATTTCAATCCCCTTTAATGTCATTCCAGAGAGGAAATCATTACATTTCTCTTTAAGTCAGTTTTGGCTATTGAATCTGTCTCTTGAATGCTGTACCTCTGAGACTGGGTCATGTGGGCCCCTACTTTAATAAGGGTTACACTGTACTTGAAAATCACTGCAAACACCTGCACTACATTACCTTGGTCACTCCCCCAGTGCCCTTCTGAGGTAGGAAAATCACATTCTATCCCCACTTAGTGAAAACAAAAACAAAAACAAAACAGGACACAGGCTACTAAAACCAAATCATAACAGAAGCCAAAGGTCATCCCCAAATTATGGTTCTTAATCAGGATGCTCATCGGAGTCACCTGAAGATAGTTTTCAACATACAGTCATGCGCTGCATTACAATGTTTCATTCAATGAGGGACCACACATACGACGAGGGTCCCAGAAGATAATAAGGGAGCTGGGAAATTCCTGTTCCCTAGTGACATGGCAGCCACTGTACATAACACAACGCATTATGTGTTTGTGGTGATGCTGGTGTAAACAAACCCACCACGCTGCCAGTGGTATAAAAATCTAGCACACACATTTACATAGAGTAATACCGGATAATAACAACTATGTTACCAGTTTATGTAAATATTTACTATACTGTACTTTGTATTGTTATTTTAGAATGTATTCTTTCTACTTATTTAAAAACATGGTAACAGTAAAACAACCCCAGGCAGGCCCTTCAGGAGGAATTCCAGAAGAAGGCATTGTTAATATAGAGATGACAGCTCCATGTGTGCTACTGTCTCTGAAGACCTTCCAGTGGGACAAGATGTGGAGGCGAACACAGTGAAACTGATGATGTTGACCCTGTGTAGGCCTAGGCTAGCGTGGGTGTTTGTGTCTTAGTTTTTAGCATACGCAAAAATAAAAAAGTAAAAAATATATTTTTTTAAATAGAAAAAACTTATAGAAGAAGGATATAAAGAAAATATTTATGTATATAACATATGTTTTAAGCTAATTGCTACTACAAAAGTCAAAAAGTTTGTAGGCAGGGCATGGTGGCTCATGCCTGTAATCCCAGCACTTTGCAAACATTGTACAAACTTCCCAGAAGTTGCAAACATTGTACAGAGGGTAAGTGCTTTGTGCTCAGCACCCACCTCCCTCTGCCCACCTAGTGATTGCTACTGTGTATTAAGGGCATAGTCTGTCTGGCTTTGTGCTAAGGGCTTTGCAAATATTATCTCAGTGATGCTCACAACACCTGTATAAGGTGTGATTTTGTAGCTTCAGTTTACAGATGAGGAGATGGAGGCTCACAGAGGATCCAGTCAATGTGGTGGTGTGGTTTCCTGCTTGGACTTTTGGGCACAGCTCCTGGCTTTTCTTCTTGTGGTCTATGTGAATGCTACACTCAGAAAATACTGAGACCTCAGTTTCTTCTGTAAAAAGGCAGATTCAAAATGCCTCCCTCTGAGGAGCGCTTTGGGGAAAACCGTAAGAAAGCATGTGTGATGGCCACTGGCCCAAGACAGGCACCTGCAATGTGACCCAAAGATGACGAGCTCCTGTGTGCACTTCTGCCTCCCTGAAGCTTGTGTCCCAAGTTGCTCATAAGGGGGGCCTCGAATGTAAACTCAAGCACTTTAAGAGCCTGGAGAACCTTGGTCAGGTGACCCATCCCCCACACCAGAGATAGTGGGGATGTCAAGTCTGTGGTGGCCGTGACTAGAGAAGGTCATTAATTGGAGGTGTCAGCCCCCCAATATCACCTAACACACCTGCATCACTGGGGTGGTGGGCTCTGTGTTTCTCCCCAGGCCCAGACATGGCCCCTGTTGGGCCAGTGACGGTCCAGCAGGGAGAGAAGATCCAGGGCCACCGCCTTGCCTACAGATTCTGGGCTGGGTTCTCCTTGGGGGGCTCCAAGAGTGGCCTCCTCCACACTCAGACTGCTCAGCCAGCTCTCAGGACACTGTCCCTTGTCTTAGAGCCCCCAACCCTCACTACCTGCATCCTCTTCAGGTTGGGGAAGTCCCCAGGTGAGATCTGGTGCTCCCGCTCGATCCGGCCATAGATTTCGGCCAGGTTGTTCACCAGCTCCTTCTTCTTGTTGTCCTTCCCGAACACTGAGGGCATCTCCTTCTTCAGAGAGCTGATGATGTAGGCGTGGACCTGACAAACAGGACAAGAGAGAAGCCTTCACGTCAAGACCCTGGATGGTCCCTTCCTTCTAGGATGGCTCTCACACCATTTGTTCCCCTGCATCCCTCCTGCCTCCTCCTGCTCTTACTTCTGAAATACTTTCCATCTCTACCCTCATGCCTCCACGGGGCTTGCAGGGCTGGGCTGTTTCTCCATGTTACACAGGCAAGGTGAGGCTGTGGGGAGCTACAGTCAAGGCAGGGTGAGGTGGTCATGTTGCTGCTGCTGAAGACAATACCAAGAGCTGACATTTGCTGAGCCTCTCTGAAAGTGCCAGACATTGTGATGAGAGCTTTGAGACTCTTTATTTCACTTTATCCTCTAACAACCCCTTCATTTTACAGATGCAGACAGAGGCACGGAGAGACTAAAGGCCTTGCCAAGGCTGGGAATCCCACAGACAGTAAACAATGGAGTCAGTTCCAATCTGGCCATCTGACCTCAGAGCTTGTAACCATGGCTCCCGCACTGTCCTGCCCCTTGGTGTCACACATATGATGCAGTGGCTGCAGGACACTCTCCAGCCCAGCTGCTGAAGGCAGCAACCCTCAACTCCTGCAGCTGACCCCGAACTCTCAGCCCCTGCCCAAGTTGCCCACCTCCCAGGGGGCTGCCTCACCTTGGCCAGCCTGGCCCTTTTGATGAGGTCATTGAGCTTGCGCAGGGCAGCATTTCGGGGCAGACTCTGGATGTCCCTGAATAGGTCCTGTTCCTCAGCCTCAAAGAGCTTCCGGTTGTCAGGGATGAGGAGGGGGTGGGACCAGAAGGAGCCGATGTAGACCCGGATCACCTCTGGGGTGTTCACGATCTTCCCCAAGGACCACATGAGGGCCCCATACACCCGCATGAGCTGCTGCGTCTCGATCTGGTCAGCTTTGTTCAGCACCACCCGCATCTTGTCCTCATGGTTCTTGAGGGCTTTGATGACTTCTGAGAACTCATCAGAGATGTCCAGTTTATGGGCATCGAAGAGCAGAATGATGCGGTCAACCCGCTCGGCAAACCACTCAAGGACAGCTGCAAAGTCATACCCTGCCGGCAGAGGGACAATCAGGGGCTGGGGCCTTTGGGGTATAGGGTAGGGGTTTGGAGAAGCAGTCGGGTGTGGTAGAAATAACACAGTCTTGGGAGTCAGATCTAAGTTTAAATCCTGGCTCCTCCACATTTTAACTGTTTGGACTCCAGCAAGTTACCCAATGTCTCATAGAATTTTTTTCATCTAAAAATACTATTAAATCCTAAAATAATATAAATACCTAATTAATAGAACTATAAAGGTTAAATACTCTTAGAATCCAGCACTTAGTAGGTGCTCAGTAAATGCTAGTCACTTTTTTTTTTTTTTTTGAGACGGAGTCTCACTCTGTCACCCAGGCTGGAGTGCAGTGGCACCGTCTCTGCTCATTGCAACCTCTGCCTTGCGGGTTCAAGCAATTTTTCTGCCTCAGCCTCCTGAGTAGCTGGGATTACAGGAATGCGCCACCATGCCCATCTAATGTTTGTATTTTTAGTAGAGATGGGTTTAACCATGTTAGCCAGGCTGAGTCTTGAATTCCCGACCTCAGGTGATCCGCCTGTCTTGGCCTCCCAAAGTGCTGGGATTACAGGTGTGAGCTGCCGCCCCCAGCCAGCTACTGTGCCTGGCCTAGTAACTCTTATTAACCTCATTATTTCCATAGGACACAGCCACTATCCAGCTCCCCTATCCATGCTTCTGTATTTAGCAGCCTGCTGGAAAAGAAAGTCTGGACACCTAATCTGACACAGAGACTCAGAAATTCTTTCTAAGGTCTGGAAACAATGAAACAGTAAAAAGTAGATACTGATGATGGTTCAGACCATGCCTATCACTGGTCTGGAAGAAATCTGCAATTCTTGTCATAAAAACATCTTCTTCTCACTCAGGCTCTTTCCTTTGTAATCAGCTGCAGCACAAAATGCCCAACTCTTGAAACCACAAGAGGTTTCTTCCTTAGGATGTGACTGGAACTGTGGCCACCTGCACCTTGGTTATCTAGCACTAAGCTGCTTTAGGTCAGACTGGTTCCAGGAGCCCCAGAGGAGTTGTTCTGCTCAATCCGAAGTAGCTGTGGATTCAGTAGGGGCTGAAGCAGGAGGGTAGACCAACAGTGTGTCCATTCACTGACACCCAGAGCCCCAGTAGGTCTTACCTCTGTGTCTCAGGCTCCTCTCACATAAAATAGGAAGACAAGAGATAAGGAAGTGGGCTCAGAGAAGTCAAGTGATTTGTCTGAGGGCACACAGCCCATGAGCAGCAGCAGTGGCCTGAGGATGGAGGTGTCAGGCTTTCCCATTCTGAGTCTGAGCAGGGTTCTCAGCCTCTCCTCCTGCTACTCCCCCATGGCATACCTCTGGCACCGAGGTAGGAGCCCTTTCTTGGGCACTAAAGTGATCAACCGCCTTGGCTCCCCATAGCACAAGGGTTCCAAGGCCACACACACTAGGGACCCAAAGCTCATTGTCACCATCAAATGGGAAACCGAATCATTAGGACAAAGCCTGTCCTGCCTTACAGAGGGAGGCTAGAGACCAGGCAAGATCATTAGGCAACTGCCTTGTAAGTGAGTCAGACTTAAGAAGCTCTGATTGTCTGTAACAGGGGTCCTAACTTAGCCTGCATCAGAATCCCCCATAGGGCTTCTTAAAACCCAGATGGTTGGACTCCATCCCCAAAGTTTCTGATTCAGTAGGTCTGGCGCAGAGCATTTCTAACAAGCTCCCAGGAGATTCTGATGCTGTTGGTCCAAGGGCCACACTTTGAATACCACTGGTCCATAAAAATAACAATAGCATTCAAAAGGTGTTCAGCACTGACCTAAGTACTTTATAATCATTAATTCCTTTAATCCTCACGATGACTCTATACAGGGTCATTAGATGCTAATATCAGCCCCACTTCTCTGAGGAGTAACCAGAGATACAAATGGATAAAGGAACTTGTCTAAGGTCACCCAGCTGGTAAGCAATGGGCTGGGGACTCAAGTCCAGGAAGGCGGCCCTGGAGTCAGGGCTATGAACCACTGCACTGAGTTGGTTTTCAAAGGCTGTCGTTTCAGACTAAGTAGCAGGCATCGATGGGGTGGGGGATGAGAATAAATGGAGCCAACAGAGCTAGGTTTAAAAAGCCTTTCCCCCACCCTGTGGCATCTAGTGAATGCCCCAGTGGGGTACATATTTAGGACATGTGGAGGCACTGCCACAGGGGGTGGGGGGATGGCATCAGCATGGTCAGGAAAACTTGCTGCCCTAAAGCTTCCTGGAGGACCCCTGTAATGTTTTTCTGGGGTCTGTAAGACAATTCTAACAAAGGAAGGTCAAACCCTCCTTTGGTTACCTGGATGCCAGCACGACTCCATGTTCAACTCCTCTGTCTTTGGGAAATGAAGTGCTTCTAAGCATTCCCGTTCCCATGTGATTTTCTCCAAGATCTGTCAGCTGCTCAATTAATATACATCTCAACTAACACACAAGTCTTCTTCCCCTGCTCCTGTGGGGGTAGATGAGGCTACGAGGAGCTTAGCAATCAATGGTCCAACTCCCTGATTTACAGATAGGGAAACTGAGGCTCAGGAAGGGGCAGAGCTGGCTGGGATTGTCCACCCTGAGGACAGTCCCTGCTTGGTGCATCATTGAGGGCTTGGTGTGAACTAGATGTTGCCTTCTCTTTCGAAGACAGGTGCCCTGTCTTGGCTCAGAGACAAGGCCCAGTGAAGTGCTTCAGAGGCTGCTCTGCCCAGTAGGCAGGGGCACCATCAACCCTCCCTCGGAGATGTTCACGCAAACTCTCTGAGGTTAAGTGACTCAGCCAATACCACCCGTGAGATACGACCCCTAGCTCTCCAACTCCAAGTTCAGTGCTTGCTGCGGACGGCAAGATGTTCATGTCATTATCTCATTTCACCCTCATGACACGCTCTGAGGCAGGCAGCGCAAGGAGTATCGTTCTCACTTCCAGGGGAGGAAACTGATGTTCCGAGAGGAGAGAGTCAAACAGCTGGCGAGTGGTGAGGCCAGATGACCCAGCTGTCAGCCATCCTGCCATTCTGCACCTGGCCGCTCCCTGCCTCCCTCTCTCCTTCCCTCCCTGGCACGCAGGCCCAACCAGCTCCTCACTGGAGCCTGGGAGGCCTTAGCATTCCCACTCCAGGTGAAGCCTGCAGCCTGCACTGCACTACTCCCCTCTTTCCTACATCCCTCTGTCCCTCCTCCCCAGGGATAGCTCCAGCCTATTTTTATCTTCCCTTCAGCACAGCCCATGGCAAGGCTGCTGTCACCTCCCAAAGGCAGTCCCTCAGAGCTGTGGGTGGGGAGGGGCAAGAGGGCTAAGAAAGTCAGGATAGCCTGAGCCCCCTGCCCCAACCCCCACCTCTGCAAACAGCTCACCACAGGAGGGCAGCGGGGCCCCTCCACAACTCCCTGCCAGGCCTCTGGCCTTCTGCTGCTCCTTATTCCCCAATCTGGATTCCAGCTGTGGCAGCGCAGGCTGAAGGAGGGGCTGCTGGGAGGACTAAGACTGAGCTGCAGCTCCATCTCACCTGTCCAGCAAATCTCAGCCCCAACGCATTGGCTCAATGGCTCAGAACAAGCTAAGGCAGCCAGGCAGCCAGTGTTGAGTCCTATGCTGACAAGGTAATGGAGGTTTATAGAGGGTGAGAGACAGGCCCAAGGCCATGCAATGCTGGGGGGTCAGAGCCAAGACCTGAACTCTAAACTCAACTCTTACACTGTAGTCATGCCTGCACCAGGCTGGGGTAAACAAAGGCACCAGAGAAGCTGCAGAGAAGAGAAGAGGCTCTGTCCCTGCAACTTTGCTGTAATCCCTGGTGACACGAGCGATGTAAGAGAAGGCTGTGTCTGCAAAGGTTGAGGGGCAGCAACATGTCCATGCTGCCGGAACAGGATAGACCCCTGCCCACCCCTGTCCCTGCCCTTGGTGGTCTTGTAGCATCATGCATGCTCCTGTTCTGCTCTTCAGCTCACTGAAATCATCCTCACTGCACCGGGAGCTGGGCAGGGCAAGGGCAGCACCTCACCCTTCTGGGCTTCCCCAGCACCCAGCACGGTGTGTGCCACACAGCAGGTGCACTATCAGTATTTGCTGAATGGAACTGAAATGGGAGGCCTGTTCCACGTTTTGCATCTGGGAGACAGCAAATGAGCAATCTCTGGGCCTCAGTTTTATGCTCGAGGAATCAGTGACTCAGTCGTAGGGTTATTGTGAGGATCTAAACAAATCAGAGGATGCAGGTGAAACTGCCCTGCTGTTTTTCATAAAGCACTCCTTCTAAGCCCTAGTTTCTATGAGATGGGATGTGCTCTGCAGGGGTCACCAGAGGAGCACTGGCCTGGGTGAGCCCACCTCTCGTTTCTGCTTAGCCACTAACTCACTGTGTGTCCTTGGGCAAGCAATCTCCCCTCCTCTGTCTCTTTGCCTGTCAAATCAGGGGACTGAGCTGGACAACCTCCGAGCTCCCTTTCTCGGTTCCCAATTCTCTGCATCTGAGACCAGAGGTGTGAGGGTGCGGAGTACAGTAGGATGGATGGAGATTAGATACAAGGAACCCTTTGCAGGCACAGCAAGAGAAAGAAGCTGCAGACTGCTGTCTTATAGTCCTCGGGCATGCCTGTGTGAAGTCTGCCTCTGCCTGAGGACAGGCCAAGGGCTTCTGGGAACTCTTTCTATGATTTTTATAAGCAGAGGCCTCCTACTTGCTCTGGCAAGCTGCTATCCAATTACAGACTCAGTAATGCCAGAAGCTTCCAGCCAGGTGTGGCGGTGAAGACCATGATCATCAAGCAATGCATGACTCCATGGGTTCCTCTGAAGCTCACCCTCCCTGCTCCTGGCTAACCCTGAGACTGTGTCACCTGTAGGGTGGACATTTAGTTGTTCACTTGGCCTGGACTTAGGAGAAGATCTAGGAATGGTGGTATCTCAAAGGTATGGACTGGACCCAGTAAGAAAAAGGGTACGGTAGAGGATTAGCTTTCTCATTTATTTGGCAAATCTG